GGCACTTCTTGCACCAGCTTGCCCTGCCGGTTTGGAATCGTGATGTCCGCGCCAGCTTCCAGCAGCCTTCCATTCAAGATGTGCAGACATGCCCACAGAGCCTCAGCCTTTCAGCTTCAGAGCTGGAGACTGGATTTGTCCAGGGGACACTGTGAGCGCCGCTGTGTTCCCTCGCGCGGCTGCGAAGACAAGTGGTGTGCCCCCACGGACTTTGGGCATGTCGCGACGCACGTCACGGTCCCAAAGAGCGCCTCATCTGTCGGCAGTGGCTCGGCTCTGAAACAGACATCAGCTGTCATCAGCATCTGATACATCCGGTTCTCGCGGAAAGGGCATGGACCTGCGGTCTGCTAGATCCCGGTTCAATGGCCAAGCCGCTGAAGGCCATGAGAAAGCCAGAACGAGTTCCTGGGACACAGGTGGGGATGCATCTGCCTTGGGCCTGGTCATCTATGGCAGTGTACCGAGATCTTTCGAAACCAAGTTGGGACCAGCTGACTAGCTGACCTACCTGCCGTATAGAAGAAGATGCAGGCTTACCGCCCGGATGGCCTCATACGCAAACACGCAGGCATCTGCCGAGGTGCGAAACTTGACATTGCAGGGCTCGTTGAGATCCAACCCAGCTTGCAGCAAACGTCTCGGTGAAAGCAATGGGTTTCAACATTTTGTCGGAATGGCAACGCGAACTTTATCCCGTTGTTTCATGGGGCCCCGGTGCTGGTGTGTCTAGTATGACTTCGGTTTGAATTTCGCACCTTGGGTTCATGTCCCGTGAAAATGATCAAGCCGTGTCAGCATGCAACTTTGCTGGGCCCAGGACGGCAAAGTCACGGCAGTGCTCATTGCAGCCATCACGTGCAACGCACCTCAAGCAGAATCTTGTCTGAACCCTAAGGCCAAGCTTTCGGTTAATTAGCCGCGAAACCGAAGGCCCTCACAGCTCCTCGGGACCCTCTCTGCACGACACACGTTTTGAAAACCCATGTGGCTGTGACTTGAACTTGGGCGGCTCTAGGATCCGACTGGGAATTTCCGTGGGATGCGCTTCTCTTGCGATGCCTTGAAGACAGTGGGAGTTGCAGTGTCAGGTTTGATTCGAGTTGATGGACGTTGCAGTGGAGCCACTCATGCCGGCCCACCGAACATTCACATCGGCCCGGGCTTCCAGGAGGAGCTCGACCAGCGACAGCTGATCTTCCGAAGCTGCAAGGAAGAGCGGGGGAATCCTCCGACAGCAGAGCTTTTGAAGCGGTTCGTGCTTGCTTTTGTGACTGGTACTATGCAAGCGTAGGAGCCGCTGTCCTCAATAGGAAGCGGTCTGAGCTCCCATCCTACACATAAACCCTCATGGCTTCTGTTCGCTGGCCAATCCCAGCTCTCTATCTCTAGTACAACACTAGTACAACCATGACTGTGATCTCGAAACTCGAAAGTTTGTAACCAATTCCTGAACCGACTGCTCTAAGGCCCTGTTTCAAGGTCCCTAGCCACTGCATCTAGACTCCAAACAAAGCCAAGATTCACAGAGCTGTGCCTCGAATTCGGGTTTGCTTTCAGATCCAGCAGTGTCCGACAAGCAAGTTCGCCTCCTGGCTCTGGTCGGGATGGGCCAGGCCGACATCTACAACATGACTGCACGCGACTCTCCTTGATGACAGCTCAGCATGAGTGGTGTCCAGCCGAAGTCAGCCGTGCTGTCGACGTTCGCACGATGTTCCACTAAAATTTGAGCAACGGCAGGGCTAATGGCGAAACATGACCTGGCCAAGCAGCACAACATGAAATCAAATGGAGACTTGTGAAGTCCCACCAGGTCTCGCAAACAAAGAGGTAAAGAGGTGTTCGGTCTCTTCCGAGCGGCCATATGTGGAGGGGCGATAGCGCCGGACGCAAAAAGAAATCCTTGTCAGCCCTCAGCGTCTTGGTGTTCACGTTCGCCCTTGCCCTGAGTAAGTTCTTAATCATGAAAAGGTCGTTCCGGGCCACGGCATAATGTAAATGTGTCCAGCCACTGTTTAGCCTCTGGGGCATACTGTGGAAAAATGTGGTCGTCGAACTTAGTGTCGCGTTCACCTTGGCGAGGTTGTCTCCAGAGCTTCCGTGTGGACATTGGAGTAGTTTCGTCCGCATACAATCCAATAGTTGGAGTTTGTGTAGATTGTGAGTGGCACGGAGGTCGCTTGCGAGGCAGTCGATGACCTGATTATGCTACTACGGCCCACTGCCAAGAACGTGAAGCTCAAACTCAGCACGCACAACTTTTGGGCACAGTACAGGGAAAGCTGACCAGGCAAGCAAGGCACGTGACTCAAAGCATCGCCAACAAACCTTAGAAGCTGCGTTGGTTCGCTCCCGTTAGACAAGACGGATGCAGTGGCAGTCAGCTTCATTCCCAGTGGCTGTCGATCTTCTTCTCGAGTGAAATCCCCGCAACACGGGGAGAGGTGACTGAGAACCTTAACAGGTCAAAGGGCAAGCGGCGCAGCTTGGGCGACGAAAGTGAACCATGGACCCACTCATACTCCAATGCTCCATCACGCTTTCGGGCACATGTTCTTGCACGGATGTGTGCCCTTGATCTCCATCTGTCAACTTCGGCAGGCGGCTTTTACATGCATATGCCTTGCAATATTCTCGCTGGCAATGTGCAGCACAGGATTTGTTCCTTGGCTGCACTGCAAGCATGTGGTCCAAGAAACTCCGCATGACTCCTGGCAAGCCTATGCGTTGTTTAATCTTGGCGCAGTGGACGCCTGCTTGCGATCCAACCGTGTTCCAATACTGCAGGCTGGGGAGGATGTGAGGCCAAGACTCCCAGCAGCACATTGACCGCGAGCTCGAATTGGCACCAACCTTTTGCTTCTGGCAGTCTAGACACCAAGTGTACTTCCCCCAAAGGATCGCGCCTCTTCGCTTCCAGGACATGTAGTTCATCAGCCTCTAGCACAGTTTTTTTTTGCGGAAATGTTGCATCCCGTCCGGTGCAGCGGTGGACTGTCGTGTTGCTTCCGCTTGGGCAATGAAGCTGCTCACTTGCAATGCAACATCATGCAACTGCTGGCCGCCTGCACTTCGACTGAAACTTAGCAGGAAGGAAGACTACTTATATAGCCTCTGCAGTGCATACCTGTACCAAATCCCAACATGTTCCGGGGCCCTGTTGAACAGGTTGGCCCGAACACATTGCGAGCATCATGAAGCACTAGCAGTACATGCAATTGTTGGTCCGTGCATGTGCTAACTCGCATGCCAAAGGCAAACTTAGACTTGAATCAATGCACCTCCCATTCTCGTGGTTCTGTGCTGGCGCCAGCACAGCGAAGAAGGAGCTTTGGGCGACGTACGTGTGCAGACTCATGACGGCATCCTGGAAAGGGTTCGGGCCTTCTTGCAAAATGTCGGCTTGCAAACGGCATGCTGTCTGACGATCAGTCTTTCGTGCTGTGGAAGTGCAGCTGTTTCCTAACTGAAGCCTAAGCGCAACTCTCACACCTCTGTCCTCAATCTGAGTCAATACGACTACGAAGCCTACAATCTGACACATTGCAAAGCCTGGAGAGCTATAATCCTCGATGGAAGCGCTCCTTCAGCTGTCTCTGCTGTTCTGCCAGCTCGTCTGTATTTTTGCAGCAACATGCTTGTGGAACGCAGGCGAAGTCGATCCAAAGCCAGCCTGGTCTCAGGTTTTCCTTGCACTAGAAACATGCTTTGAAAGGCTTTGAGAATCTCTTGCCTCGAGAGATCTTCTTGAGGTCTTTAGTTGATACGCTGCGCGTGAGTCCCAAGCGGACTAAGGAGATCGTGTCGCTGGCCTGTGCTCAAGTGATCCAGAATCTCCTTCCATCTCCTCTCAAACCGAGAGTCTGAGCCACGGGCCAGGGTCATCTTGTTCTTTCGGATGGCGTGTAGCATCCGCTGCAGGGATCGGAGCTGATGATTTTCCGGATCCGGGTGGTCCACTCCCGACCACTCATGCGACACGAAAGTCACGAAGCCATGCTCGTACTCTTGCAACTTTCCAGCTGCAAGCAGCATCTGGTGAGGTTGCAGTTCGCTTAGCTCCAAGACGTCGTCTGCGTGGATCACCCACATGGGGAAGCACCGGTCACGCTTTGCACAGTTCGTTGCACCCTCGGAGGGCCGCAGCGAGTAGCCATCCCGGCCGTGGCCATGGCAACAGAAGAAGTTTGGCATGAATCATGGGCATATAATGGCAAGCCTGTTGCCGGAACGGCTTCGCAACAAATGGTGAAAGAACAGACCACACTCGTGCATGCCTCAGCTTCTTCTTGTCAAGCTTCAACACTACATGGCATCGTGCAACGGCCCAGTGTCGGTGAGCTTCAAGACTCCGACAGGCATAGTGATGTCAGCAGGCAGTGCCTGGCCCTGCATCGGGCCTCGCAGCCACTGAGAACGTGCTCCCTTCCGCTAGCCGCTCGCATGTCACGTTTCGCAAGGAAGCCAGGCCCTCTTTAGCCTCAACCTCGCCCCGAAACCCCTCTCGCAAAGCCTAAATGACTCAGCGTCCGAGGTGCAGAGATGGCCATGTTCGGCATGCTGCCCCTAACTTATTGATACCGTGGTCCCGAAGTGTGGCATTACTGTGCTTAGGGTTGTCGGAAGCTCCCTCGGTCTTGTTGTCCGGTTCTTTCGATGTGTCAAGTGCAAGACAGTGCTTTAGTGTGGGCTACAGGCTGCTTGTTTCTGCAAGCAACTTAGGGACAGTGATCTGAGTCGCATCAGTTCATCCCGAGCTGAATCCTTCTACTCGCATTTTGTTCCAAAACTGGCTGCGGCAGTCAGCGGCGTAGCATGACTCGACGATGGGGGTCTTTTGGAAGGTGTCGCTCTTTTCGGAGTTGTGAAATCCCCACTGTCCAGTGCATGATGGCCAGTCAGCTGGTGGTTTAGTTGACACCACCTACTGTACCGAGCGATCTGGGCCCTCCTCGGCCTTCAAGACAGCGGCACAGCCACGCTGGAGTACGGTGTCTTCAGCTGAGACCTCCACGCCCTCTTAACGCAGCGCCTCGTGTAGCAAAGTATGATGGCAACGCAGGCCAAGCTGCCAGAGTCCTCTGCGCCAATGTTATGAAATGCCGCTGGGGTCGCTGCTCTGTTTCTTTGCCGCTTCTGCAGCCTGGACTCTCGACTCTGCGTCTTGCTTCAATGCTTGCATCAAAGCATTCAAAGCATGCACCGAGACAAGGAGCAAGGAGGTTTGTGATCAACACCGTGCAGCAACAGCAAAACTGCGTCAGTCACAAGTCAACAAGATTTGACGCAAGTGCGGTTGGCACCTCCTTCTCTTCTTCCATTTGCTCCGCTTGCCTCTGCTCTTCGAGCTTGTCCATCTTTTGGCGGTTCCTCCACTGTACATACTGACATGAAATAACAACAGGACAGGACTCTCTACCAAGCTTGAGAATTGCTGAGCGCTGTGGCCATTCCAGGAGCTGCTCCCGCTGCTTCTCCCGATATCTCTGCTCCTTTTGCCGCCTGCCAGATCCAGAAAGGCAAAGCCTGCAAACTTTGACGCGAAGCTTCGCCTTTTGTCTTCCTCCTCTTTCTGAGTTTTCTCGGCAGCCTTGCGCTTCGCACCATGAAGGCCAAGGCCAACCGAATCGTCTGAAGGCAGTCTGTGCTTTGGCCTGGGACCTCTCCAACTCCTGCTGGCTCTTTTCGGCTGCCCAGTCCTGAGCGGTCTCTGTTGGCTCTGTCTGCCTTCTGAACGCAGTGGAGCACGAATCTGCTTCGGAGCTTGTTTTGCAATCGTTCCTCTCACGGCTCTAGGATCTGAAGGGCTCCGAAAGAAAACCGATGCCCGATGCGTTGCTGCACTTCCTTGGGAGCACCATAAGCTGGAACTGCTCTGGCAGAAACAGCGGAAAACTCAGCGCTCGATCCAACCAAATGTGCAGGAATCGACGGGTCTTTGCTGGACGCATTTCAGAACTTGACTGTCGGTGTGGGCAGCGCCTACACCACAAGCAAGCTTCAAGTTTTTCAGCCGATGGGGTCTCTGCCTCTCACCACAGACTTACCTCGGCATCTCGAAGGTGTGAGATGACAAGCATTCCAAATCCGACCGCTTTCACGCCGAGTGGAGCCAAGCATCGGTTGCATCGCGCTTGGCGGATCCACCACTTTCAGTGGCTGTCTGGCTGCTCAAACTGAAATCCTCGGCTCACTGTTCAACATCTAAGACCTCACAAAGGCCTAGTGCTCGCGATTCGGTCACCTAGTCTTACGTGTCGCAACATTGAGAAGACCCAACTCTGCAAACTTCTCTGCCAGGCAATCCAGGCAGCAATCGTCAAATCCTCAGGATCGAAACTGCATCCCGGTGAGCAAGGTATTGGTGAGCTCCTGGTTGCGGTGTTTGCTCGTTTTGCACAGAATTTCAGCAACAAAGCACAACACTGCCGTGTCTCCTGGCAGAAAATGACGAGGGCCAGAACTCTGCAGAGTCCTTCTGGCCTGGCGCAAAACAGATTGGGAGCGACACACAGCACTGAGATCTTCTGTGGCGGAGATCCCTCAAATGCCACCTCTTGGAATGACGCCCAGGACTTTCAGTGCTTCAGCCACCAGCTGTGAGCAGAAGAAGTCCTGGAAGTGAGCGGAGATGAGCGTTTCAAAGGGACTGCACTGCACTGCATGGAAGCTGCCCTGGAGTCCTGCTGCCCGCCGCCGGTCGAGCCTCGGTGTCGTAGCTTGCTCACCTGAGTCAAAAGCACATCTCATCTGACCAGGAGGAATCGAGAATGCACGCTGCCAAGTTCTGTCTTGGAGTGACAAGCCGCCGAGAGGTTATATGGCTTGCCGATGACCTTGCCGACCCACTCCTCCGAACAGTTTCGAAGGACATCGTTCCGTCCCGACCGCTTCGTGATACCCAACTGGCGAGGTCCAGAGAACAAAAAAATCCCTCGCTCAGTAATTAGCCTAATTAGCCTGAGGCCGGCAACTTCTCGTGAAAGTTTGCACTACCTACCTTCTCTATGCGATGTGACCTCTGCTACGTTGCGCTGTATGTTAGTACCTGCTCGTGGCCTGGAGTGTAGACAGCGCCTCAGCGCTTCGTGGGCATCGCACGCCTCGGCGATGAATGGAGTGCTATGTGTTGTCGACCGAAATGTGAACGTCCACAATGGAACCTAGCTAAGCAAGCATTGCGTGTGCTGCCACGTTGCGTCGCAAAGCCAGTTCCGGGTACAAGTTCCTAAGATTGGCCCATGCTGTGCCAATTCTGAATTGGGCAGTGTGGCCACCTACTGCAGAGGGTATTGTAAATACTGGTCTAAAGAAGTCCAGTCCCGGGTGTAAGTTTAGGAATGCGCCGAGAGTCTGCCAGCCATTGGCAAGGAAAGTTCTCCAGGTGCACAATCCAACACCCTCGTTGCCTGCACTGAGTTCTCTCTTCTGCAAAACAGTCCCTGCAAGACCTTCCTTCAGCAATATGACCAATGCTGCCTGTGGCTTCCAGGATGCCGATCGTGTCACCTTCCAGCCTCAAGATGAGACCTTGGGGAAAGGATTCGGACGATTTCCAAATCGCGCGGCACTTGATGGAAGTGGCAGGGTAGACACTCTTGAAATCTTCAGTCGGTGAGCGGCCATCTCAACACTAGGTAGTGTACTAGGTCGACAGCAGGTACTGCTGCGGGTCCTCTAATCTCCATGCCCTTCATTCCATGGTTGCCATGTTGCCCACGTGATCGAAGCGACCGTGCCGTGATGCACCAGCTGAAGCTGCGCGAATCAGCCTCATGGCTGCAACCGTCTGAGATCGCAAGCTCCCCTGGCTGGCTCCGGCCGCCTTGGGAAGGTGCCCTTGGACTTGAAAAGCAATATGTCGCCGGTTTCCTCAGCTATCTAAGCTGCCGCTCTCTGGGTTGATGCACGGTGCCAAGGCTTCGTGCAGCCTGGTCTAATGCAGGCCAAGCCACCGCGACATGTTTAAACGTCTCCGGCGAAATCCGACTCACCTTCCTTAGGCTCTTATCAGAATCAGGGACCTGATCTGTTGCAGAATCTGTTCGGCATGCACCAGTAATTAACTTCGCAACGGCTGCTTCATACGAGGTGCTGCCACAGGTTGAAAACATGGCACATCCTCTCCACTCTTTCATAAACTCTCCAAGTGGCCTTGCAGCTTCTAGGCGTTACACTTGAGTGGTCCATACCGGTACGAAAGAGCGTGGACATCTGCTGGCCAGGAACCACCATGCATTTTTGAGGCGGCTGCGCTGGAAGTCGTTCAACCTGGAGCGAATATTGCAGATCCTGCCTGAAGCTGTTCGACTGTGACTTCCGGCCTCTCAGCACTTAGTCGTGGTCGGCCCTCGCAGCGGCGATCTGCCTCCTGCAAAGGAAGGCCGGCCCATAAGCATGTTGACGACTTGATGAACATTGCAAGGCCCATCCCGGACTTTCTTCCACATTGCTCTCTGTAACTCTTGCATGTTAGCCTGCTCTTTAGTCGTGGAAGTATCTCCGGCCCACTTGGAAACGACGGATCCGCCTCAAGGTGCGCGCCCAAATCGTCGATCCAGTAGCCAGCCTCCTTCCGCGTGGCGACACCTCGGATGGAACTTCCTAGGCACACTTTGCTTGTGGTACTATCTTCTGATTGTCATATTGCCCGAACAGCCTGTAGTTTTCACCGCGATGCATTCGCGGCATTTCGGTGCCCTTTCTGGGTCCAGACTGGCTCATGTTGACAAGCAACCACCACTCCTGCTAAGAGGCCTTCAGAATCTGCTACATGTAACGTACCAAGGCCACTCGTAGAGCCTCGAGCCTTGCTGCAGCGAGTGCACATCATCGCCCATGCCCTTGAGCCCTTCCAATCCTTCCTCGCTGCTCTTGAACCTCTCTTGCAGCCCGTGGTGCCAAACTCGAAGGCCCGATTGCTCCCCACCGGCAGAAGACGGAAGTAGGCTTCATCGGAGCTGAAGAAGCCGGAAATGCACACTGCCCTGGGCGGGACAGCATCTTTCTGTCAAGATGCTTTGAAGCTGAAATCTGAAAGGCACATTACACTCATAAGCTGTAGTGGTGACTCTATGCTGGAATCTCCCGAAATATCCTGAATACGACCTGAGAAGGCCAACCCAGCTGCACTCTGCACTTGTAGCCAGGGTGCCGACACCCACGATCCTTGCCTCTTCTGATGCCTTGGCTACCTCAGGCAATGCTCCGCACGAAGTCCAAAAGGCTGACTCTGAGGCTCGGGGTCTGAAGGCCATGCAGGCCCTAAGCAAACGCCTAAACATTCTTCAGCCGAATGGCGTGAGGCTTCGCTGGTCGACGGATCATCCCAAAGCCGCTCGATCTCCACATCCACAAGCTCGAAATCAATCACGCCTGGCAGTTTGTTTTTCCGGGTTGCAGGCTCCGGAGATTGCATATTGATGGTTGCGTCCGCAGGACTGGATTGTTGCTCTTCCGCGGCCCTCGTGTGGTGGCGTGACTGAGTGCGTGGGCGCGTGCTCGATTGACTAAGGCAATGGCTTCATCCATCTTCATCTGAGGTAGAACGCGGCAGAAGAAAATCAGCATCAGCCCTTCATGCAAATTACATCAAACACACGCCTCGCCGAGCGAAATGCTAGTGGGCCTGGTCTGGCCTGCTAATGAGATTGGGATTTCCTAGTATTCCTGGAGCGGGCAAAGTCAGCCCGGCCGGCCATGCAAGCGTCTCTTGTCTGGACCTGACTGGGCAAGCCATGCGCGGCAAATATTTGTGCCGAACTTGCTGCGAGTGAGTGCAAATTAAACCGACGAAACAAGCATCAAAATGCAGCTGTGATACCCTCAAACCACGCCGCCCGGCAGTCCTGGAGCAGCCATTGACAAGTATTTTTCAGCGAGCCTTCATGTGCCACGAACATTGTATGCTATCCTAGAGGTCCAAACGGCTAGAATGTGAACACTGACTACTTCAACTGCATGCCCTGTAGGGCCTTGAGCACCAGCCAGCGCCATTCCCAGCTTGAAAGAAAGCCCAAACTCTCTGCCATGCGCTTCACCCAGCCGGACCTGTGACCATGGCTGGTCTGTAAGCAACTGCCATCAAAAGCCAGCCTCTCTGGTAATTCCGACTCCGTCTTCGCGGGCAGCATCACCTGGCGAATCGGGTGCGAGAACCATGCCGAACTCAACACCCTAAGCATCTTTGAATATATTGCATGCACAAAGTTTCACCATCGGCATCAACAGCAGCCTGCCCACCTGCTTAGCCCCTTGGGAAAAGGCATCTGCCGCAGCTTTGGCGACAGAGTCCTGATCATGTTGCTGTCCCTACAGCTGGGATCCACCAGGCACGAATCCAAAGGAAGCAGCTGCCGCTGGCCTTTGTCATCTCTGCAGCTTCGGGACACCAGTAACTTCATTGGCGCACGTGAGGACTCCCAAGTAATATATAACGATATGATTACGCAAGTCTGCTAAGTTCGACCTCTAATCGTTGACTTCTGAGCTCCCGCTCCGCGTGTCCTCTGTGTTGTCGAGGCCGGCTTTGCGACGTGCTGCGAACTGGTTCATGGCCTCCAGCCTTAGAGCGAAACGCCTTTCAGTTCTGGCGAGTTTGAGGCCAGGATAATCGTAATATGTCGTGATGGAAGGCAGTGCTTGGGAACCTCTGCTTGCTGTTCAGCAGCCGTTCGACCTCCGACATCTGCTGCAGGTCTGCGGGGTCTCCATCTAATTCAGACGGAGCGCTGTCCTGCCCCGAAGAGTCGAAAGCTCGAAAGGCTTCGGACCAAGGACCGGCTCCAATGACGGCATGCGGACTTTGACACGATGTGAAGCGGCCAGCTGTGCTCTGAAGCAGTCCTCCGACGCTTCCTCCTCCTCCAAGAGCACGGCCTGGCGCTTCTCTTCTCCGAGATGCTGTTGAGTCAACGGGAGTCCATGTACATCGTCGCAGAAGTACAGAAACTGACTTTGACAGCTTGGGGGTCCTTCTTGTCATGTCCCCACATCATCCACGCACCACGCTGACGATCCCCGGAGCGCAAAAGAGTAAGCACCAAAACGAATGTAAACCATGCCACTTTGACAGAGTTCAGGCTTCTGAGAAGAACCCTAAAGTGCCTAAGGCTTTATTGCTGGTCATCACAGTGTTTACGTCACAATCCCTGCAACTTTCACATAACGATACAAGAGTGCTGTGCTTACCGCCAGTATTCACCTTTCACCACCGAAACATTGACAATGCCGGCGGCCTCGCGGCTGGGCCTCATGGAGGCGCGCCGGGCAGGTTCACCTGTGAAGGGCAATGTTCAGGCCTCGTGCTGCTTCAAGTGCTACGGGGGCTTGGCATCGCAAGACTTCTCCGGTCCCTATGCTCGGGCTTTACAGGCACATCGCCTCACAATCCAGCCCAGGTCCTCTGTGCAACCGGCAAGAGTCACACCTTTAGACGGCATGGGGCCCATAAACTCTCCCACAAAACCGGCTCGAAATGATGTGTACCCTGTCGTGCGGAAGGTCTGAGTCGCCACACGGTGGACTTTCGAGACCGCTTCCTTTAAGAAAGGCACCTTCCCCGTTGACCGTCTGCGGCATCGCAAATGTCGCCGGGTTAGGCTGCCATGCATATTTTGGATGATCCACTTGATTTCGGAGGTGCACGTGTTATCTCACGATCTGCTGGGCTCGTATTCAGGAGGTCATTTGGCTTGCAAGAATGCTGATGGCTGGTAGACGTCTGGGATTGGCTAGAGACTGTCCTGGAGATCTCGTTATGATTCGTTATGCTTGTACAGGGCTTGTAGGCTCTCATCATCTCTGATGCTCGGGCTGCGGGGCAAGGCCAATCTTCCCCACATGTTCTCACCGAGCGCGCTTCAAGTCAAGCAATTACACTTGTTCTTCCCTGCACCACCAGCCGTGGCAACCGAGGGTCACACAGCGAGGCACTGACGGAGTTCTTCACCGCGCCTGGAGTGTGGAAGGGTCAATAAAAGCCCACGATGTCCTGAAGCTGAGAGTGAGCCGCTAGCCCCAAAATGACCAAAACGTCTTCCAGCTCAGCGCAGCCCAGCTGAATGGATCCCAAAGAAGGTGCCAATTGAGGATTTTTTTCGCAGTCCAGCAGCTCAGCGGGTCCTCAGGCCTTTTCCGTTCATGCTCTGGGGCTCCAGCTTTCGCCATCGCTCCCTCTCCTTCTGCTCGCGCTCCTCGTTCTGACGCTCGAGCCTCCAACCAGCCAGGACGAGAGCTCAGCTCTGCTTTTTTGAATTAAGTTGCTTTCATCTCCGGGCTCCCGACTCCTCGACTCGCCTTCGCTCCTCTTGTTCCTCCTTCGGGCAGGAGGTGTCGCACGAGCGACCATCAGCGTAAGTCACTAAAGGGGCCTTGTCTTTGCGCTCCCTCCACTCGGCAATCTGGCCCAGAATCCTTTCCTGCGGATGCCACAAGATTTTCTGCCGGGCTGGTCTGTGTGATGAGTCTCCCGAGCTGCATAGCAGAGCAGATTGTGGCCTGTCGCTTGGCGACACGAACCTGCCGAAAAACACTTGGCGATTAAACGAAGCTTTAAGGATTGCTGCTGCAAAAACTCGGATCTGGCCTCGGGTTTCTGACGTGCAGTCCGTACAGTGCTACACTTCTGCAAGATGCACCTCAACACTAGCAATTCCTCAGCAATCAACCACCGCCTGCGCTTCACAGCTTTGCTGCTGCTGTCCTGAGCGACCCCTCGCAGGCTTAAGCTTTCTGTCTGTCGTTTGCCGACTCCCGGCTCCATCGAACATGGAGGCATAGATTAACAAAGACTTGGGAAGAACAGCCGAGTTCCGTAAGAAGTTCGGATGTTAACGAGTCACAACGAAACTGTGCAAAAAGCTTCGAAAGAACTGATAGACTGATAGTCGGTAGAGTAATGCGATGCAATTATCACGGCAGAAAGTCTTATCACCACTCAGAGGGGCGTCGTATCTGCGTGGGAGGCTGGGAACTTTGCGACCTTGCCTTTTGGGGGCGACTTGTTGTAAGCACCGGGCGGAGCCAAGCTTCAGCCTCGAAGCGGGCCACCCTCAGAAAGCTTCGCTGAGCCTGTGGGGGTTCTGAAGTTGCTGGGTCCTCCCGAGGTTGCGGGGGTTACAAGGGTTTTCTTCAATGAAGCCAAAGTTACTAGAAACAGTGTCATTGGGATGGTGGCACGGGTCGAGATTCTGTAGGTACAGGGCTGAAAGCAGAATTTAAATTGCATCCTTGTGAAATTGCGAACATGCAAGTGCCTCTGCGGAGAGGGTGTCCAACGTAAGCTCGATTCTTCCGCCGAACGGCTTGGGATAGTTGGTCCTGGGGCAGATCGCATACAGGCTCTCTGCGATACTGCACTAGCTGCTCGACGTGCAACCAAGTTGCACAGATGGGATGTTCCTCAAAGCAGGAGGAAGGGGCTCTCTGTTGACATCTGTTGACCGAACACCAAGTAGTTCTGTTTTTACACATCAGAAACAGCTGGGCAAAGGTTTATGTGAGCGACTGTCGACATATCCATGTGTTGGGGGTCTGCCTGCCGATGACCTCTCGCACCCCTCTGCATCTGAAGCCGGTAGGTCCGCCAAGCTTCAGGGATGCCAGCTGCATGGAATGCTTCAGCCTGATGTCTCAGTATTCAATGGCAGGGTAAACAAGGCCATCTGAGAGCTGCGCCTCTGCTCTGCTCGCTTCCGTAACGCCGCTTCAGAGAAGGCCTCCTTTGTGGGCTTAGTCAGAAGCGGACAACCAGCCTTCAGCGAACTGTTCTTTGTTTCACTGACGGGTTGTCCACCAGCAACATGTCATGGACCCGTGCTGGTTGTCCCACTTGCATGTGTCATCCTCCTCCGTGGGCGGCTTGGGCATCGGCAGCCGCCGTGGTGCTTAGTGTCATTCCCACATGTTGGGATCGACTGTGGGAACTACTCCTTGGAAAGAAACGTCAAGCACACGTTTGTGCTGGGTGCTTGGCTGTACCGCTTGGTGGAGCGATGAGAGCGCGGGGACTCCTCCTCGTTGTTGACAGAAGACAACGAGGACTGCCCACACATGCCCACACACACCAACAACATCAGGATTCTTCAGCGTCTCCTCATCGCTGAGAAGAGTCGGGTTGACCTGAGCGCACAGGGGTCGACTGAACTCATGCTAGAAGAAGCACTCAGGACTCAAGTGCATGGTGCCTGTCGCTGCTCGGACCTGCTGGCTGGCATTATCATGCCTTCCATGCCCTCCGCTTCGTCTTGCTGCTCCTTCTTTTACAGCTGGGTCGAAACTTTTACGGCCGGTGCTTCCATCTTGCACGATGCCCGCTGTGCGTGGCCTCGATGTCGTCCTCATACTCCTCCTCGCTTCCACCCAGTGGTGCATCCAAGCCCAAATCCTCCTCAACGGCGGCTGCCTTCAAGCGCAAACCCGAGGCTTTCGCACTGGCACTCCTCAAAGCCCTGCCTTGGCTTCCGGCACTTTACCACTCTCCTTCGGCGACACAACACACGAAGGACTGCGCGTGCTTCCCCTGTGTTCCCTGTCCTGCGGCAAAGTCGTAACATCCTCCTCGACCTGAGTGAAGCCACTAGAACCAAAACGGATCGTTTCTCCCTTCCTCACCTCGCCCGGCTCCATGGAGCTTTCAGCCGCCTCTCAGGAAATGCAACGCAAAACACCTATGCAAGGCACTGCGCGAACGATGCTGTGCTGCGTGACGCAAAACCTTGACCGATACCATGGCACTACTACTCCCAAACCTCCACAGCACTGCTTGGCTGCACTTCGGGAGTTGTCGGCTCCTGCGGAACAAGCTCCCAGAAGCGTGATACTTAATTTGGAAGGCTGTGCGGATGTTTTGGTTCCGGTCTGAAGTGCTGAGGGGTCCTCAGGAGCACTGCCCAGCACTGGTGTCGCCGTCGCGTTATCCTGTCAGAAAAATTTAGTGGACAACAACATAATGTAACGGTTAGCTTGGAACTGCCATCTTGGAAACTTCGCCCAAACCCTAAACCCTATGGATGCAAGTTCGCATGAAGTGCCTTGGCAGCTGCAGCATCGCAGTTCTCTGGGCCCGGGCTGTTCCCAGTCTTTGCAGCCTCCACCGTGTCACGGACAACAGCAGCACAACCAAAGTAACATCCTTACTCGATCCCATGATGCCGCCCCAAGCATGGTCGGTGCCTGCTCCTGAAGGGTTTCGTGTGCTGGTGAAACATTAGGCGCTGCAACCTGCGGCGCCGCCAAATGTGACAACTGGGGGACGCGGAAGCACGTTGGATTTGTTCATGGTGCTGCGCCTCGCTGGAATGCAGCGTGCTCGGTGGATCAAGATGCTGGTTGGCATCTGCTAGCTCCTCCTGATCGCAGCGGGAGCTCTCGGGTCGGAAGCTTTCGCTAAAGCCACTGGCGCCAGACTTTCGGACACAGAAGCCCTGGCTGTATTCCGTCAGCACCGGCTGGAAACCATGCGCTTCCGGCGCCGATATTCGTTCCATTCAGAGCATGTGCAGTTCTGAGCTAGACATGGCCACTGTCTTTCGCACCTCGTTCGCCGCTTGTGGCACTGCAAAGGCACCGTCGCTCGGGGCCTCTCGTGCTTCAATACATGTCAAAGCCAAAGCCCAATGCCCCTGATCTATCTTGGCCGAATCTTGGCTTTAACTTTAACAATAGCAGCAGGGCACGTAAACTCCGGACCTAGGCAGTCACATTGCATACCTTTTGTGTCTCTGCGGCATGTCGGTGAGTGGTTCGCTGGGCAACTGCAGTCCTACGGACTGGAGCCACGACAGGTCTTGCAGGCATCTGAAGCTGCGACTCTGTCCAGCTAAGGATGCACGCAATCTCTCCTCAAGACTACGTGCAGCTCGGGATCGCCAGGTCGGCTCGAATTCGTGCACAGATTGGGGGACCGAGGCCCATGTCAAATAATCCCGAATGATAGGACTCTGATGGACTATGTCAGCTCTGTGCTCCTTCACAGCGGCCTTCGAGTCCGAAAATCTTCAAGGCACTCTGTATTGTTCAAACTGACCGGAGCCGGTGCTTCACAAATTGCGAATGTTGCAAACCCATCAGCTTCAATCGAGCATGTGTGCGCTAACTGTCTGCTGGCCAGTCGTGAAGCTTCAAAAGACGAACTGGGAAGGTTCCATGGACGAGGGCTCCAAGAGAATGACAAGGACATCCCTGAAGCCATCACCCACATCAGCCTGTTGCCCAGGCCATGGCAACCAACCTGGCCATGCTTGACCCACCTTCGGTTGGCCATCACAAAAGTAAGGGCTCCGGCAAGTGAAGAATTAATCAGGCTTCTCTGAACGGAAGCCAACAGTAGGCCCTCGCTCTTGAGGGGAAGACAAATCTGCTGGAAGTTACTCAGTAGAAACCCCTGCTGCGATCTCAGGGGTCGCTTCTTTGGAGTCGGCTTCATCGTTCTTCTTCTCTGGACGCTTTGGCATAAACTCCTATGGGCAGCATGGGATGGAGCTTCTGTTCTCCGACGTTGCCCGTTTTGGAGATTAGTCTGCACACTGCAACCGCTCCGCATAGATCCGGCCTCGATACGATTGGATAAGCGGCGCAAGCCAATGCCTTTGTTAAGAGACGATAAGGGTATAACCCCTAGCAGCTGGAGCAGTGATCGTGGCAAAAGGAGCAGGCTGACGGATGGGAGCTGATTGCCCATATTGCCCTCCGGTTCTGGGTGGGCAAGCCGGGAAGGTTACTAGATTAGAACTTTAGGTGCGAATCGGCGCAGACTCAAGTTGGGTTCGTCATTTTTCAATCAGGACCTGTGATTATGTACATGTCCCGTGCGAGTTCCGTTTCGGTTGAACCGTTTCGCGGATGATGCCTGCGAGGTGGCTCAGACGGACTGCAGTTGCTACACAAATATGCAGAAACAAAGCGCAGCGTTTGGGGGTAGTGGGTCGCACGGATAAACAAGCTGCTTTTGCCCTCGCGCTTGGCCAAACGGGACATCTTCTTTCCTCGGCTGCATGTGGTCTCAAGCACCGCTTTGCCGAAGCTCGGGTTCACATAACCGCAGCAAAAACCAATAACATAGACCAACAGGGATTGCGCATATGTGCAACGTAGCAAAACTCAACACTTTCGAACCAAGCGGCTCGACCAAATCTTGGCAACAACGGCATCCTGCTTGATGAAGCTGACCTCTCTCTTCAGATTGTGATTGGAATAAGCCCCTAAGACTGATGCTTTGGTGTAGATCGCATGCCAAGAAAAAACTGAGCGTGCAAACGAGCCCCAGGCCTCATCCTCCTGGGCCTGCTGCCATTGCGGCGGAGCGGCCGCCTGGAGGCGCACTTCTATCTGGTCCATGAGCCCGCATGAACTTTCCCCCTCGCATGAATGACCCTAGGGCTGGTCTAGGCTGTTTCTTGCTCTAGCCGCTCTAGCCTTCGGCTTCGACTACGACCGACTGGATGCAGTGGCAACCACGAGTGAGTGGCCGTCGCCACTGGATGTCCAAGGCTTTGAAGCCAAAGCCCTCTTTCGATACCTCTGCCTTTACCGATCCTGATTTAAGAAGCTTGATTTGCCTTGACTTTATGAAGGCTACTTTGCAAGAGCCGAGCGTTGAACTCTGCCTGGACATACACCATCATCACCATGCTTGGGCGAGATGGGAGACGTGAGGGGAATATATTCAATTTTGGAGGCTGCTTTCTGTTGTCTTAGCCGCTGGACCTCAAATGTTCTGGGGCTCCAAGGCAAAACGTGTGCCCAGCATGCCTGGTAGTCGTCCCAGCTCGGGTGGTCGATAATGTTGCCGTTCGAAACTTCCAAGACCCGGGTGGAAAACTCGCGCAGGAAGAAGCCTCAAAGCTTGGAGATGCTTGGAGGCTCCAGGAAGCCACCACATGAAGCTCCACAACGACAAGCGGCGATCGTGGCTAACCACCAGCGCCGCGCCTGCCATCAGAACAGAAAAAGGCACATCTTTTGGACCGGTTCGGGGCAGCGTCCTTCGAAGGACTTCAGGGCATCTTCCAGGAGCTCCCTTGTCGGAATGTCCAGGTGGTTGGTTGGCTCGTCGAGAACCAGCAAGGCCACCGGCTTCAGCAAGAACTTGGCAAAGGCCAAGCGTGCCTGGCATGGGCTCCCCTCCCCCAGCTCCTGCACCACTTTTGCACTGCTTTGCCCGTCCGGCCTTCTCACCGCCACTCAGGCTGGAGACCGGCTGCTTCGCCGTAATGCCACTGAGCCGTAAACGGTCCAGGACAGCTTCCTGAATGCATTTCACAAGAGACGCTGTATCAAGTCCGCCGCTTGACATTTTGTTCTGGGGTCCTTCGCTGCAGTCATCAAGTTAGGCAGCAAACTTGCAGGTGTTTGCATTTCGCCTAATTCAAGCTCCGAGGCTCAATGCCACCGGCCCGTTCCACGTCCATGGATGTGCCTGGAGGAGTCCAAGCAACATGCAGGGATGACAACTCTACGGTCTGCTCTGGCCATGGGATTTTATAAGCTCGATCTTCGAAACTGCGGGTACCTTCACGCCACCAAGTGACATGACACGTACAGCGCATCCTGGACCGAGCCCTCCTCGGTGTTAAACGCTTCGGCAAGTCCTTGGGATGAGTTGGCACATGTCGCCAGGGAAATGTTGTGCTCCTTGCCCTGCATGCTGAGCTCACGATCTTTCTCGAGGAGCCCACATCGAGTTGCGCGCATGTCTACAAATCTGAGAATGATTGGGCGCTCCCTCCAGACTTGAAGCTGGCTAGATGAACCACTGTTTGTTGCGGGCTAGCTTCTTTGCGGGAAGTAGGCACAGCCAGCCGACGTCACGGAGGCTTGCCCTGGTGCACAGCGGAGTCGCAGGCCAAGTTCTCGAACGCCCACTCTGCTTAGACATGAAAGGCAGCCCGCATGCGCATGGGGCTCCTGCCTTCGACGCGACCGGACTTGTCAAGGTCATTCACCAAGGCCTTCACGAGGGTACTCTTACCTCGCGGCAAGGCACAAGCTCAAAGACATCCCTTTCCGTGTTTTGGTCTTGTGGCGGGTCGCCACATCCGTTCGGTCCGACCACTGCCACCTTTTCACCCTGGCGCAGGGTGAAGCTGATGTTCTTCAGAATTTCCTCGCGGAGGCGGGTCGCGTGCAAAGCAACGCTTACAGGCTTACGGCTCACGCTCGCTGAAAGCTCCCTTCTCTGCGCCTTCTCCGGGAAGGAGACATTCAAGTTCTCCACCTGCTAAGAAGAGCAACAAGCCCTTCCCCACATTCTCAACACATCTGCCTCAAGAAGCGGCAGCGGCTCGACTTCTGAACCCCACAGATCGTCCACGTCCTCTGCTGGTTCCTTCTTGGGACATTCACAGTCACAGTGTCGCGATTTCGGAATTTGCGGCAGCAAACCACGGTTGCGAAACAACAGCAGCTCCTCATCTGCGGAGGATTCCTCTGTGGAGTCTTCGTCCGTGGAGGCCACCGACAATGAGCAAGGGAAGCGGAAATTCTTGACCACCTTGACCTCCAGGTTTGGCAGAGCAAAGCTACTTACTTTGCTTGCTGGCCCCTGCATCCTTGCACGCATCACGTGCTTTGCGCCAAAAGATGTGCACACAGCAAGCTGGACCAACCCTGGGATGATTCGTGCCTCTGGCTTGGGCGGGGCATTTGCAAGGAGCTTCTCTAAGTCCTGCGGGTCTCACGACTTTTCGGCCGAACAAAACGGAAACATGTCTTGTACGACTTGACCTGACATGAACTTTGAAAGGCAACTGGGCCAAGCCGCCTCAACAGCTGCCTGCTTGTCGAAACTGCAACCCACGAAGCACAAAGGTAATCTGCTAGCCCACACGGAAGCTCCCAGGAATCCGATCCCTGTAACAGTCGGAAGACCCAAACCCCAAACCAAGCCATAACAAACACAACATGCTGCACTCATGCTTTAGCAGCTTCCTGCTTCTTCTGCTTCAGAGTGTCCATGAGAAATCGTTGCTGCAGCTTCTTGATGCGTTTCTTCAAGGCGAGCACCCGGTCTCTGTGCAAGTTGTACTCTTGCCACTCACTGTAAAAAGCACCATCCCGGGCTTGCAAGTACTCCACATAGTTTCCGAAGTAGGTCTTTGACTCACCGTCCGCAATCTCAACTATGCGATTGCAAACCTGGTTCAGGAAGTATCGGTCATGGGACACGATAACCATCGCCACATCTTGCGCTCTCAGCAACTCCTCCATGAACTCCACCGTTTCCAAGTCTATGTGATTCGTTGGCTCGTCGAGGAGAATCAGATCTGGCCGGGAAAGGATGATTTTCCCAAGCGCAACTCGCATCTGCCATCCTCCAGACATATCCCGCGCCAGGGT